TTCGCCGGGTAGTGCGGATTTAGTCCGTAGACCTAGAGTGTTGCCTGCTCTATTATTAAGAGGGATCTGCTTCTTACTATAGATAACCTCTACCGAACCCTTACGGCCTCCTAGAGGTAGGATAGGTGTCTTAAAGCCGCTACTTAAGGCCTCTTCGTTAGAGAGATCTTCGCTATCTAATAGCCTCTATAAAGGAGTCTTCTTAGTCTTCTTAGCTTTAGGCTTCCGTATATATATAGTACGCCGAGCCTGCTCTATCGTAATACCCTTACTATAAGGAGTCTATAGCACTCCGCCCTCGAACTACTTATCCTACGACTTAGGGTGTTCTTGTATGCCCTAAGTTATTAGTAAAATAGCTTGTTTATTAAGGTCGTATGCCTGTTCCTTAGTTTCCTTTACTTCCTTCTTTAGCTACTTAATTAAATCGGCGGCTCGGGTACAATTATCTTCGAGCTTATTAATTTTGCGGTTCTTATCCGTATTATCGGTACGGAGTTATATAAGGCTACTTCCTCCTAGCTAATTATCTATTATTGCGATCTTATCGTTCGCGGATATTAGGTCCTCTCGGACAGCCTACAACTTATTACTTACTACCTTCTATTTAGCTTCCTTCTACCTAAAAGCCGACCTGTTCCTCGTAGCCGAGCTACGTACTAAATCGTACTCAATCTTAGCTTAATCTAGTATATCTAATAATACTGTCGGGTTCTTGTTAAGAAGGTTCTTAAGGTCTCGAGGCCTATCGATTTCGAAGTCGTTAATATCGTAACGAAATGCCTAGTTCCTAGTACCTTCCTCCTCTCCTTCTACGGCCTCCGACTTAATCTCGTCGATTAGTATCGTATATCGGAAGAAGAGCTTATCTATTGCTCGTCTAGCGGTATCTTATTTTCCTAACTTCGTACCCTCTCCTATATACTTACGGCGCTTATATTCCCTACCGAGCTGTTTTATTATATACTCTACCTGTTCCTTCTCTTCTTTCTGCTTCTTTAGTATATTCTCGAAAGAATCGGGATTGTCTCGACCCTAAGTCTAAGAGCCGTTATTACTATTATCGCCGCCTTCGGTCGCTATTTTGCTAACGAAGGTATCGTCTATTCGTAAGAACTCGTCGTCGCTACTATTACCTCCGCGAGGTATCGGGACTAGTTTGCCTCTACGTAATAGGCGCTATAAGAAGTCCTCGTTCTAGACTTCTAGTATATTAATGCCTGTTTCTATTAACCTACTATTAGTAATGTCTTGCTAGTATGCCTTGCCCTTTAGCGATACTAGTATATATACTTAGCAATTGCAAGCGCGTCGCGTCGTACTACTACTCGTATTACTAACGTAGTCTATAGATGTTATATTACCGTAATATCGATAACGTAATAGCGTAGTCTTAAAGTCGTAGCAAGTAATAATACGGGCATAGGGTTACGAGAGGCTCAAACCTAGTAGCGTAAAAGTATATAATACTTGCTACGAAGAAACAGAAGATTAGTCGTTGTTACTACGACGACTATATCTTTAAACAAACAAAGGCAAGTAAATGTCTAAGACAAACAAGCCTATAGTACGGTATACTATAACAAATTTCGAGGAGATTATCCTTTAGCTATTGTTCTTAACGCAAGGTAGTAAGCCTGTTTTAGGTAGCTTCTTAAAGTCTCGCTACTAGCTAGGGCCTAAAGGCTAGTTAGCCGTATCGACGGTTAATAATATTGCTAAGAATGTCGTTAACGGGCAACGATAGGTTATCCCCTTTAATTATAGGTTCTTTAGTAGGCCCTCTAGTAGGCTCTTTAGTAGGCACCTTAGTAGGAGGCACTTTAGTAGGCACTTTAGTAGGCACTGTGCTACTAGCGTTGTCGTTGCTAGCGCTACTAGCGGCGCCGCGGTTGTTGTTGCTTCGTAATAAGCCGGCTATTATAAGGGGTAATACTAATAATATATTATAGGCTCCTAAGATACGGATATAGCGGAATTAGTAGATATCGGCTTAGTGCGATTAACTTAGTATAATAGGCTATATAGAAGGCCTTGCTTAATAATTAGTACGGTTGTTTTAATAGAATAGTACGTATAGGTCCCGTTCTTCGGGCGTAATATAGTTAAATCGATAGTTTTCGTAGCTATACCGCTAAAAGCTTAAAATAAGGACTATCTAGCTACTACCCTTAAAGGGGTAATCGAATACTATATAAGAAGGGTTATGTTAGTAGGTAGATAGGGTAGTAGTAGGTATAGGTAGTATTCGATAAGGAGCTAGGAGGAGAGGGAGGAAGGCAGGCAAGTTAGCCTATTACTAAGCGCTAAGCCCTGCCTAAGGCACTAAGACCCTAGCTTTACTTAGCCTAGTTACATGCTAATCACGTATAGCCTCTTTAGCCCTAATAAGATATTCTATAAAGTACTTGCTATAGGCGTTTTATAGGTACTCTATAGTAGGCGTTATATAGGATAATTACTATAAATAGTTCGAACTTCGAATACTATTAGACTATAAGCGTTTTAGATAGTATTTACTATAAGCGTTCTAGATAGTACTACTCGCTATATATATCTCGGATAGTTACCGCTGTAGGCGTTTCGAATAGAACTCTATACGCGTTCCGGATTAGACTTAGTATAACTTTAGAAGCGTTTCGGATTAGAACTAGTAATTACTATCTAGCGCGTTCTAAATAAAACTTAGTATAGGCGTTATAGATAGTAGTACTAACTATAAGCGCTCCGGATTAGACTTACTATACGCGTTTTAAATAGTACTTAGCATTATAAGCGTTCTAAATTAAAATTCCTATAAGTGTTTTAGATTAGGGTTACTATAGGCGTTTTAGATTAGACCTACTATACGCCTTATAGGTAGTACTTACTATAAGCGTTCCGACTTAGAAAGAACTACTTACTAAAGATATTTCGAATAGTACTCGCTATAGGTATTCTAAATAGTAATTACTATAGGCGTATTCCGGAAGTAGTTACTATAGATATTTTAGACTATCTTACTATAAGCGTTTCTAATAGTGCTTGCTATAAGCGTTTCTAAATAGTGCTTTCTAATACCTACTATAACGTGTTCTAGACTAATATTACTATTAGCGTTTAAGATATAACTTACTATATACGTTTTAGATTAGGCCTACTATAGGCGTCCTAGATAAGACTTACTATACGCGTTCTATATAAGACTGTCTATACGCGTTCCGAATAGTACTTGCTATAAGCGTTTCGGATTAGACTTACTCTACGCGTTCTATATTAGACTTTCTAACTTACTATAAGTGTTCTAAATCAGACCTACTATAGGCGTTATAGATAGGAGTTGCTCTAAACATCTTTAATTAGTCTTACTATAGGCCTTATAGATAGCTACTCGTCGCCTTAGGCTTCTCGTATGGCTCTTCGAGCCACATTAACACTAGTATAGGAAGACGACGAACGGAGCGTGGGAGAATTGCCAAGTCTGTGCGTCGCGGAAAGCACGGCTTTTGTGTCGCCACATTCCGGTGAATGTTTGACACGGCCGATGCCGTCTGTTCTGAAGTTGAAGCGTCTAGACAAAATGACCTTCAAATGTCACGTTACTGGAATGCCACCTGCGTGTGCTCTTTTGAGGAGTATCATCATGATTATTGGCACTTGTGCCGAGGACTTTCCCTTGCGGGCCGAGCTGTCAAGCCCACCGTTGTTCGGTGTTCGACCCAGATCCCCCAATTACTCCTACGTGGACGTCTCACTCGACAGTGAGAATGATTGCATCACTTGTCTTGTGAGCACCCCGGAATGAAATACCCGGCCGTCAGTGATTTTGGGCCGGCCCCTCTTCTTCTGCATCTTCACGCTTACGCGCTTAGCACAGCTCGCACGAGACGAGACGGAGACGAGACGGAGACGTAGCTGCTAGCTCGTTTCGAATGTCTGCCCCAGAAGTACTGCGAGCACGGTAGCTACCTCAGTCTTCGCTCACCTCTGCGTCCTTTCTCCCCGACTTGCCCGGCATGGCTTCCTCTGCAGACCCGAGTTCACCTCGTTCGGAAATCACCCATTCAACGGACTCGTCGAGCAACACTCCAGCATCGTCAGTAACAACGAGCTCAGCAAACTCAAAGACCTTGCCCGCAAAGGATCCCAATACCTCTCAGCGCATCTTCTCAGAGAGTAGGTCCTCCAAAGAACAGCCGACAACCGCAGACCAATTGATTCAACTTACGATTGATTACCTCGAAGCCATTAACTCTCGCTCTTGGGACGAAGCGTGCAAGCTCCAGGCTTACTTCCACCCTGCTTTCATCACCGAGTGTAGATTCACAAATCGAGAACAGACATTTCTGGATAGTGTGGAAACTATGCGTGAACAGGCAAAACTTTTCCCCAAGTATCGCGCAAAACTTATCGAGGCATCTGGAAACATAGACGATGACGGAAGGGCTGCTCATTGCTTCTTTCACGCTGAATGGCTCGACTGTCCACCTGGAATCGTGATCAAGGTGGTCTATGCTATAGAATGGAGGCATGTCGACGGGATGTGGCTCTGCTACAGGACGAACGTGCTGCCTGGGGTGGACGAAGTGGTTTGAACGAGAAGCGCCTAGGAAGGCATCCCCGATGCCTCTGCCAACACCAGGTCTCAAGCAGGATTAGCCCAGCATTTGGCGCATGAAACGGATCCGGGCAACCTCAACATGATCTTCGCCTTAGACTTGCGAGAGAAACACACCCCAACGACTTGGTTCCTTCTCTGGAGCCTACGGCAACGTCACTGCCAGCGGTGTAGCTGACACACTCGGCGTCAAATTTGCTAGAACAGCATTTTGAAGCGTCCCTTACGCCTGCCGAAATGGTGAGTGTGACTTCTCGGAGGGTGTACTCGCATTTTGCAGCCACAGAAATTGTGTAGTTTGGAGCACGGCTGCGCAGCTCTCGGAATGACGGGCTTCTACCCGGGGGAAGCAAAATCTCGAAGATGCGCATCAGCTTGAACGCACTGTGAACAGTCGACAGCGATGATTTTACCAGGAAAAGCAGCCGTGGAGCGTGGCATCATTCTCGGGCTCAGGAATGCTGCCGTCCAGACACAGCCATGTGGAGTCGACCTGACTGTGCGGGCTGTGCGTAACTGGACATCGGCTGGTGCCATCGACTTCGACATCAGCTTGCGCGCCAACGCCAAAACGGAGCAGCTTGCATTCTTGAAGCCAACATCCGAAGGCTTGCAATCATCTCTACGCCTGGCACAAGGAGCCTATCTGATCGAGTTCCATGAGAACGTAGACATGCCACTGGACATCATGGGTCAGATCTACGTCAGAAGTTCTATGTTCCGATCTGGAGCTCTCGTCACTGCCGGCGTGATGGATTCTGGTTACAAAGGTGCTATTGGAGCCATGTTACAGGTCGTGAGCCCGCACGGATTGCTACTGCACGAAAACGCCAGGGTGGCACAAATGGTCTTTCACGAGATGAGCGAAAAAACGGATGGGTATAGCGGAGTGTACCAGGGAGCTCAGAGCATTGGACTGTAGGGTGGCATGGGATGCCCGAAGGCGAATTCTTGGTTGTACACTCTGGAATGCGCTGTCTCTGTATCGTGCCCTCTCTAACCTCGTCATCCCGGACTCCGGCTTCCTCGCTATCGACGACCCACACTTCTCCCAGCATTCTAAGCGCAATTCGGTGCTCAAACTCTTCCTTCCAAGGCTCGCCACAGCTTATCATTTACGTACTCGCACACGCCTTGCTCCAACGAGAATAGCTTCGCCATGCATCATCTAACGTCTCCGATGTTCTGGTTTCTTCGTCTCGATCTTTGCTTGCGAAGTCTGTCCTGTGGCTTTTGCTCGAAGACTTCGCTCGACGAGCACAATCCCGCCAATTAATGCGACCATCAGAAGTGTTTCTTTCGGAAACTCGTTCGAGCTCATGATGAAATGCTGGTTCGTTTTCTGTCGATATGCTCCAGTGCTGTTATGCTCGTGGTGGTGTGTCTATACTGCGATCTGTTTCGCGCTTTGGTGCTTGGTGTGGCCAACGTTGATGGAGACCGGGGTGATGCGTGTAGTCGAGAAAAGGGGCAGGGGATACTCGCGCCACACAGAACATCATTGCAGCGCAGGCTATGACGCTGTAAGACTTGCGGTCAGGCTCTCGGCCTTACAGATGCTCAATGCTGCCAGCGCATGCATGCAAAGAAATCTTATCGTCAATCCTACGGGCAGTGGAATAGAGTTCAGGCACCCGTGGTATCCCTGCCATATCAGCGCTTGAAGCGGTGAAGTAGCGCCACTGCAACGACATATCCGGAACTATGCATTCAAGATGACCGTGTGCATTGTCTTGGCTTGACTAAGTCCTTCTCACTTCACCTCAGAACATCTCTGCAACGAGAATGATCCGCCAGCCTGACGCTTTCAAGGTCCGTGGCACGCACCTACAGCCTCTCTTGGAAACCAATCCTCCCATCGCCGCTCTGCAAATGGAGGCGAGAAGCCATTGGACACTGTCGCACCGTGACTTTGTCAATTCTCAACCAAGACTGCCAAGAGTGCTGCCATATAGCATCGATGAGAATAGATCCTCACGAGTCCTCACCACGACCCCATTCAATCAGCTCACCTCTCCATCGGTATGGAATCTCCTGCTCCCAGCGCCTAGCAGCGACGAGCTCGGTGACTCTGTCTCTCACTCCTTGTTGAGCCGCTGTCAAAGTGACTCCCCGCGTTAGTGCATTGTCGCACCCCTCAACCCAGACATTGATGAAAGTCCAGGTCAGCTTCGCCGCGCTGAATGGATTCTGGTAGAAGATGGGCTCATCGCGTATGCGTACGCCGTTGTCATCGAATTCTCTCAGCCACTTGTGCGCAAAGATCGCTGGGCTGCAAGGCTGTTGGATATTAGCGATTGGATTCGGTCTCAAGGGCCTGTGGAGCAATTTACAGGGCCGAATCGCGGCCTATTGGTGCTGATGTCTGCCATATTGCCTTGGCGGCTTCTTCAATGGTCAACGTTGGTGGACGACTTCATCTTCGAGATCACGCTATGCTCAGGACGGGAGACTTGATTTCGGCGACAAACGCTGAATAGCGTGCCGACTGTAAAGTGAAGTGTCTCCGTGTCGTGAATCCTGAGGTGGATTTACGATCGCAGCCTCACGCACGACGACTCTCGAGTCTCAAGTTCAAGATGTGTATACATACATTCTGTTCCTTGGTCTATACTAGGTAGTCGGAACTGATACCTGGACACGCAGAGGCTCGGCAATTCTTCAAGTACTGTACACTTGGTTTGCTCACCAAAAGCCTGGTAAAGGACAACTACCAGTGAAAAAAGACCACAGCATAGGCCAGAACATTGAATGAGCTGAACGGACTATCAGAAGCGAGATCGAGAACTCCCAGACCAAACACAGGAGTGGTCACTCCCATCGCCTTGGCACCTGCTGCTCTCTCCGCATGATCCTGTTTTGAATGTGGAAGTAGCTTTCGTGGATGGGAAAGCAGTGCTGTGGGCACTGAGGGCAACAGCGATGGCTGAAGCAACACCACCTCGATCTATCTTAACTTGTCCTCCTGTCTTAAGATCACAATATTGTTTCCGCAACCATATTACCATCGCTGATTCAACACCATCACTACAGATCAACATTCGACATTTCCAGCAGAAGCAGAGCAGATCATCATGGTATCGGCTTCACAGAGCGCTAGCACAGCTGCATCTCAGAGTCCAGTACGAAGATTATGAGGAGACATGTTACATATCCGCTGACTGACATCCTGCATAGACCGCGAAACAAGATGCATTCATTACAAAATGGTTCCCGCAAGCCGTGACACACTACAACAATATGCTCAAGCGGAGCAGCGACGAACTGTGGTCGACTTTGGGCACCGAGGACGCTCGGCGCGCTTTTATCCTCTACCAAATATTCTGTTCAGAGTTCGCCAAACATCGCGAGGAGTTCATCCGCGAGCGCCTTAACACGCCCGATAAGAGCAGAGAGAGGATTTGCGGGGCATGGGGAAGATTCTTCGTACAGATGAAAAGGCTCAGAGAGGCCACCAATGTTCTCCTCTTGGTATGGGAGGCATATAAGAACGGACATATGGGTCATGAGAAGCAACAATGGTTCCAAAGGCGACCTGAGGCCTTTCAAGAGTTTGTCCAAACGTTTCCAGAAACACTCGAGGATGCCGCAGCAAGAGGGTCCTGGTCTTAGTGGCTTCCGGATTCTTTCGTGGCCACGCTATCCGAGGAGACGGAGAAGAAATTATATGTGATGTATCGTCTGCGTCGGGGATCGTGGTTCGCTGAATGGGACCTCAGACACGAACTGTTCCAGGAGTATGAGGAGTGGATGGCGCAGCGAACGGAGGCAAACGAGAAATGCGACGTCGCTGAATTCCAGAAATGCCATTGGGGACTCCTGACGCCTCGGAATTTCTCATCGAAGTGGATCGTTGACGGGATTTTGGTGGTTTGTGCAGAGAGTGAAGACTTCCGTCAGGCCCTTGTCCAGCTGCTATGCTTAGCCTTCTAGGGCTTGTGGGCGGCGAGGTGCGCATCAGCTTGCAGGAGCAATACTCATTACTACCGTAGCGAATGCAGGATCTGCTATAGGACATGTTTACCACAATGCCGACTTTGCCCAGCTCTTTCATCGTTGGCAAGACTCTCATATTAGAGCGCTACAGAAGGCCCTTCACCGCTCTTGCCACTTCACTGCCGCCGACTGCTCGTTCTTTCCTCATGCAGCAAGCACGCTAGCAGCCGTTGAAACTTCACTTCGGCTTGGCACGCGCGCGCATTTCTCGCGGCACGACCTCAACAACAATCTCAAAACAAACACCCTCTTACGCAACACCCTCACTTGCTATACCCAACCAACAATACCAACGCACAATAGCAAGCATCCACCGAGCACCCACAATGCATGTCACCACCCTCGTCACGGCAGCCTTGTCGCTGACCGCCGCCGTCTTCGCCCCAGGCGTTGACGCCGGCAAGCGAGGTATGCCTCACTCAGCCTACCGACGTTGACAACACTGACATGTCTCTTAAGAGTGCGCCTTGTGCCTGGAAGAAGCAGGCGGACTCTCAGGCTGTGAAGCGGAGGCCCACGGCATTCCCACCATGGCCTGCCTTTGCAACTACCCAGGCTACTCGGTGAGTCGCATCTACAGTGGCAACTATCAGCTGAACTGACGCTGTGTAGACTTACAAGCTCTGCAACTCTCGGTGCGAGGGACCCGATGGCTGGCCAGAGAGAGCCCCTAGCCATGTTTGCAAGAACTGGACCACCAACGCCAGCACGGAGATGTTCACCTCCACATCCACTGCTACCGACCTCAAGATGCTTGTTGATCGCGCAGCCACGGCTACTGAGGTAAGTAACTCGAGTTCACTTCCGGGCTCGTGGAGGAAGAAAGGGATGTTTCCGCATTGGTGGGGCGGCGCAAGTCGTGGAGGTCACCAAATTGGCAGAGGCGGCCACTTGGGGATGTGTGGACCAGACGGCGCTTCATGCGCTTGGGCAAGCGACGAAGATCTACCAGACACTGTAAATGACCTGCAACCGAGTTCGGTCAGTGCATCTCGTGGCATGCAAAGGACTGATGTGCTGACAACGTCCTCTCTCCAGCATGGCCACGCTCTGCCAAACACCGCAGCAGAGCTCGGCAGTCAGAATCTCGCCTCCAACACGCAAGCCCATCCAACCATTGCGGTGACCGCTCCTACCTATCAAGCTGCCACCCAGAGCTCTGCGTCAATGACCACCACAATTGACGAGTCTGACGGCGCTTACTCCGTCATGGTCATCTACGTTCCCGGTCCACTCTCCACTGGCCCAACTCTCTATACCACCCTTACCCCCAGTCCAAATGACGCCTTTGAGGCACGCTCGAAGATCATGCATGGTACATATCACTTCTGCGGTGTCCCCGGCGGCGCATGCGCCAAGGACGATAACATTATGCGTAAGTCGTCTTCCCTCTTCCCAACCACCTCTAGACTAACACTGGCACTCTCAGCAACCACCACGTCCGCAATCCCAACCTTCTTCCTTACAAAGCGCCACGAAGAGCACAACGCCACCGCTGCTCGCTGGTCCAACGACACCGAGCTCGATTTCAACTCCACCTCTCGTCCAGGCGGCCAGCCACCAACCGGCGCTGCTGCAGAGAGCAAGGGCCAACGTGTTGACAGTAACAAGGAGAAAGTCTGGCTCATCGCCATCCTGACTGCTGGTGTCGTTGCCTTTGCGCAGATTAAGCGTCGCGCATAAGACACGGTGTTCCACAACGACCATGAAAATCCTTGCATACCAAGAAAACCCGGCATGGATTGGAAAGACGCGGAAGCGATCGAGTACGATTTTCAATTTCAAGGGAAGTACTAATGCTTTGCTTTTTTTCTTCTTCATCTGCTGTGCGGATCGGTGGGGTTCGGCGTCGGGACTTTCAAGGAAGGCTTCGGCGCATGGAGTTCCGGCTGAGGTTCATATGGCGATTGACAACAGGATTGAGAATTGAACGAGAAGCCAGAGGGATTCAATTCAGATAAGCATCAGAAAAAAGGAGTTTCAAGAACAGTCCGGTTTCATTTGTCTTCAATGTCGTCCAGCTTCTCATCGCTCGCTCGTGATCGCGTGAAAAAGACCCGCCTCGAAGGCGATCAAAGAAAGAAAATCATTTATGCCATTAAAAAAATATGCTCATACTTTCTCTCTACTTTGCTTTGCTTTGATGATTTCGCTCAAAAAAACAGCATAAGGTACACTAGGAAAATTCTGTCTGTTAATCTTCGTCAAAGATGGCCGTGGCGTTGGTCAAAATGGTCTCAACAGCCCTTTGCTGCCAGCTTGCGTCCGCAATGTGAGGGCCTTGATGTGCGCCCATGAGAGTCGGCCTGGAACAGGAAGTCAGCAAAGGGTTCGTGTTTTCAATGTATGTTTGAGTGTGTTTGAACTTACGCCAAGCAGACAGCCAAATTTGCAGCCGTCATCCTTGTCTTGCTCTCATTCTGCATCACTCTTGCCAAGTGGAGGACCAACGCTCTGAGCGTGGCATAGTTGGCGTCTGGGAGGTCATTGATGGCTTGGTGAAGACCATCTCGTCGCACGTTATCATCGTCTGTCTGGGCTGCTTCGATGAAAGAGCCGTAGTTGGCTCTTGTGAAAAGAGGGTCTGGCAGTTCTCGGAAGAAGCTTTTCAGGAGAGATGTGACGGCGTTCACGTCGTGGCCAAAGTTGGCAGGATTTCGGAAATCCAGCTGTGGTGCTGCAAGAGGCAGAGTATCAAAGGCATCACGAAGTCTGTTGACTTGAGCCATGTTACCTGTTTGGCGGTATATGCCCTCGATCTCCAGGCCGAAGAGGTCTACAGCTTGGATGCACTGGAAGACGATAATCGGCACCGCAGACTGATCGCGGGCGAAGAGATCATCAAGAGACATGCCAAAGACGCGTCCTTTTCCTGTTGCTGGTGGCGTTGGGTTCATTCGAGCATCAGATGCTGGGATAGGACCTGGAATGGAGCCTGTCGTCTGCTGATGCTGTGCACCCGTGCCGAAGCTGCCGATGCGTTCTGAAGGGTGAGTGGGATACGGTGGTGAGGCGTATGTATCGCGGAGAGGTGCTGTCTGAGGGTTGTACGGAGATTGTGTGGTGGCATATGACGGTGTTTGAAGATCGCGGTCATGAGATGGGGGACCTCCATAGCTTGCTGAAGGCGGTTGGTATGGACTTGCTTGGGAGGGAGATCCATATCTGTTGTTCATGGAACCCGGTTGAGAAGAAGCCACGTTGACCGCGAGTGGAGGCTGCGGCGACACGGGTTGTGATACCGGCTGTGCAGGTGGAGGCTGGGTCAAAGTCGGCTGTCGGATAGGCTGCGATTTTGGAGCAAGGACTGGATGCTTCTCATATTTAATATCGCTCACGTCTTGCGGCCTTTGCTTGACGCTATGCGAGAAGCTGGCAATGTAGCTCTGGAAGTCCTTCTCGTTATTGATGTCCAGCACCAAATCTCGCAGGCTTCGTTGAGTGGTCGAGCCATCTTGCAATGGGCTAATCGCAAGACCATTGCCCAACAACAGCTTCTCGTTGAATGTGGCGAACTTCTGCAGCTGCAAGGTGAGAGCACTATCGCACTCCTTGATGAGGTCTTGAAGCGCTTTCACAGCCTTTGGTCTGGCCTCCTTGAGAAGGCTCAATCTTTCTCTCTTCGCTGCACTGACCTTTTGCTCGTAGTCGTCATCGGCAACCTGGACTCGTCTTAGGAGATCTGTCTCATGCTGCTCCGCGCTCTTCGGTCCCTTCAGACCAATTCGTCTGCTCCCTTTCGATTCGCCGGTCCTCGCACGATCGTAGTCTTCAGCAAGGCTGTCGTACTTGGCTTTGGCCTTCTGCATTGCCTGTTCCGCATCCGAGGCATTCTTCTCGGCCGCGAGACCTTCATGCTTCCACTGCTTCCTCCCGCGCTCCATGTTGGTGCTCAGCACGTCCAGATCCTCGTGCATCTGGTGCAGACTGAGCGCGAATTGCATGCCATTATCAGCCATGCGCTCATGCACCCTCAGGACCTCGGTCAGCTGGGCGCCATAAGTGCCCTGTCGCGTCTCGCCTCTCTTGACATTGTCCAACTGGCTTTGTGCGAGACGCTTGAGGCCCTTCGCCTGCTCTTCTTCCAACGATGATCGCTTCTTCAGGAACTGGGCAAAGTCGCGCGCCGAGGCAATGCTCTGCTTCAGCCTGTTCAAGAGGGTGTTGATGCCAATGTCCGAGTACATAACATCATCTACCCGCTTATCGTACACGCTGTCGCCGCCGCTGGTATTCGGTCTGGCGTTGCCGTCGACCTTGGGCGAGCCTGGTAGTGAGGACGTGGCATGGTCGTCGCCGTTGGCCTCTCCATCGCGGAGGAACTCGCTCGACATGGTGGCAGGTTTCGAGTATTAGTGATTATGTACAGCAAGTCTCACAAAATGGCAGTCTGAACGAAGTCTCAATGTCTGCCGAGTCAAGATCGAAGCAATTCAGTTTGATTTAAGGGTTTCCATGGCATGCGACAGCTGTAGCGCAGCAGCCGACGCCAACGCCAAAGCCTGACGACGCACCTCAGCCACGAACACACGCCAGCAAGGATGGCGCGGTCCGAGCCTACCATCCATACGTATGACGCGTTAGAGGTTAGCCGCGATCGACCGTCCGTGAACATTTGATGAAGTGAATGAAAGAACATCCTGATCACAGCAACACACATTGAGCAACCATGGCGCCGCCGCTTGGCTGGGAGCCCAGCGCTCAGACAACTCATCCCATCGAATCAGATCGATTGCCTCAAGAAGTCGTTGCTTGCTTGAGAAACGCGAGATTTGTATGTCACAAGAGCTTCAATCCTTCTGGGGAGTCTGCTATATTGTAGCGATAAGGAATTTAGTGCTTAGAACATTGGCTATGCAAATACTGACATCGATGCGTACAGCTCCATCTGGCAACATGCACCAACAACGTCCCACACGTATCTCTCATGAACTACACCTACCTGCCTTCGCACCCATTCCCTAGCTCATCAAACCTCCCATCTGGACCAACGATCATCATGACCTCGAACCCAAGCTCAAAGAAAACTCTCAATCTTCTCTCAAATCCTCACGTCTCAGTCTGCATACACGATTGGGTATCCTCCCGACCTCCAAATACATTATCCGGCGCCGACCGCGAACGAAGCCCAGCAGGTGGACCTCGAAGCAGTCTTGCAGCCATGCTTATGCAAATGAACAGCACAGCCGTCTCCTCAAACAGCATCACAATCAATGGCGAAGCCCATGTCCTCGAAGCCGGGTCTGAAGAGGAGAAGTGGTGCAAGGAACAGCATTTGGCGAATAACACTTTTGAGGATACGAATGGTCAGGCAAATGCTGCTGCGGAGCTTTTTGGCACGAGTCCTGCTCAAGCTGGAGGTGGAATGATGCAAACCGGAGATAGTGGCAAGGGAGCATACATTGAGAATGAGGATGCGAGAGTTGTGGTTGTGAGGATTCGGGGTGGAAGGATATCGGATTGGAAGGGCGGGGTCCAGGATTGGGCGATTTCGACAGACAGTAACACTTCCAGAGCGGTCGC